AGATTGATCTAGCTATGTGTTTAGAAATTGAGGGATGTGAGTGGATTCACTGTAACGACCACGCTACAGAAAATGAACTATGTATTTAGAAATTGAGGAATATGAGTGGATTTAGAGTATTATCCTTTCCATAATGCAATAAAAATGGAGATGGATGTATCCTAGTGGAGATCTAAGATGGTAAACCTTACAATGCATTAAAATCGATAGAAATCTAGATTCCTTTTCATCTGCCATTGTTTATCTACCAAAAAAGATCAATCAAATAGTTTAATATGAATTTATTTAATGAAACAATTATTGATGAAAACCGAAACGTCAAACTTTTGACGATTTCAGAGAAAGAATAATAAAAATCGCCTAAACTGTAAGCATATGAGTGATACTCAAGCCTATATATCACATGAAAACGTTGCGATGAAAAACGAAAGAAAACTGTTTTACAATACTAATTCAAGATAATATTCCAGTTCTGAATCACTTACCTCGACTTAACATGTTACAGTTAGAAAAAACCAACCGTAGATACGTACGCAACACTATATATAGTGCATTTCCTACATCGTAAGGGTCATATGATGGTCATTGTCTTATTCGTCGGTTATCTCCGATCTCAGCCAGATCAAATTGACCGTCATTATTGTTCTTTCGTGTTTCATTGTACATCTACATAAGTGTCGACTATTGCAGCAATCGTCACCCAATGGTCTTTCAATTTCCAAACCAGTCACAACTGATAATGCAATGAATCTTATGGACGATTACTTCATTATTTTTTCTGTGAACTGAGGAAGCATTGAGCTATTTATATTCAACAATCGGTGGTCTTCTGTTTTATACCGCGTTCTACTACACTTGTTCAACCAACTTTAGACAGAAATAATACTCTGTTACGAAATCTCGATACATTTATGCTTGTTATGAAAATATCTTGTTCAAAGGCACTTTACATAAAGAATCAGTACCATTCGTCAAAGAAATATAAAAACTATGCTTCTTATATTGAATACGTGCAAAAAAAATTCAAACTCATTGAATGTAATGTTCTTCTCATATCAGCAAAGAGAAATTAATATATTCACATATAAATACAATTTGTATCTGTCTCATTGCTGACTCTAAACGGTTGAAATAAATAAATAATCGTATACATATGTATATAATGGGAAATGTTGTATCCTTTGTTTACGTGCTTTCAATATTCCAAATATCAACATAGATTCCACATAGCTGATTGTCATATTAATACGTCATTGCTGTCATTATGATACGTTATTTTCCATTACAATATAAAGACTAAATACATGGATATAAAAGATTTATTTTAAATTTAAATGTATCATGCTTTATTTCTTCTACGAAATGGTCTAAATACGAGTACAGATACGCACTTGGAAAGTCAAACAACTGATATTGTTGTATTTGCAGAAAATATAATTTATTTCTTGTGGTCATGAAATCATTAAACTGAATCAACTAAAGCTCTTCAATCTTCAGATTATATAGCTAACTTTGAAGTAACGAGGTGATTACAGTAAATCCACTCATATCCCTCAACTTCTAAATACATAGTTCACTTTATGTAACGAGGTCGTTACAGCAAATCCACTCATATCCCTCAACTTCTAAATACATAGTTCACTTTATGTAATGAGGTCGTTACGGCAAATCCACTCACATCCCTCAACTTCTAAATACATAGTTCACTTTATGTAACGAGGTCGTTACAGCAAATCCACTCATATCCCTCTACTTCTAAATCAATAGTTCACTTTATGTAACGAGGTGGTTACATTAAATCCACTCATATCCCTCAGCTTTCAAATACACAGCTGTATCGATATGCATTGAGATGCTATTACGCGAAGGGTAATACCCTAAATCCACTCATATTTCTCAAGTTATATGATGGATATATTTTTGGTACGGTAATGAAGTCATTACTTCTCGGTACAATATGTGATGGTAATGTCAATATACTTTCGTTGTTCATTCTTGAGGGTATCGTGACGGCTGGCTGTCGATACCCGTCGTATTGGTATTATGACATCTATGTTCCGTAGGTACTCGAACAATTAAACTTCATCATGATAATGGAAAACCACATATTCATGAAGATGTAGTCAATTATCTTGAGTCGGAATGTGTAACAATAATGCTACATCCACCTAATTCTCCAGATCTGACTCCATGTGACTTCTAGTTGTTTGAGCTAATCAAACAGAATCTTGACGATCAAGATGATTCCGAATCGTTGTATGAAGCTGTGATCAAATTTATGAACTCGTTGAAAAAAAGAAGAGTATAGAAAAACTTTTGATAAATGGATTCAACGAATGCAACTATGTGTAAATAACCAGGATGATTATTTTGAACATTTGATATAATAAAAATTTGATAAACTCCCTTCAAAAAAAACATTTTTTGTAAATCAATCGCCATTTTCGCTATGTTTTGAATATTATAATATCACTTGAAGATTTATCAAATATAGTAGAATTATAGAGCGCGACTTGGGCTATCAGAATATATATAAAAAAAAATTTCTCAAGCCTTCTGTAAAATATAATAGGGTCGGCGTCATTACTTTTGGTATACCCTAAGTATTAAGTTGAAATTTCACACGTTCAATTCTGATCACTGTTGGATGTTCAAAAGAAAATGAATGACAATAGATAACAACAACTTTTTAAAAATGTTTCAATGCTTGTTCTTGTTCACTTTTATAGAAATGTAAACATTCTATGTATTTATAACTGTCAAGTATTGATGCAGGGTGTGAGTGAGGATTTCCTTCATCTACACTCAGTTACATCTTCAACAATTTGAAAGATACTAATAAAGTAAACGAATTGAACTCTGCAAGTGAAATAATCAAAATATGAATGTTACTTTGTTTTGTATTTCTCTCAAAGTTCATTTTTGAACAAAAACAAAACGAAGTTTTCGCTCACACGGTACAACCAATCAGACTCAACATTTTTTTATAGATGCTTTGATCAAACAATCTTCAGGAAATAAGTACCATTAGAAAAAAAACATGTTTTATAATAGTGCCCCTAATATTTCGCTTCTTCTGAATCCTAGGAACAATATTTTTCGCAGAAAAATAAAACATACACCTCGATTCGATCCTGATTGTCCCAAAAAAAATGAAGTATAAATTTTTGCAGAAGGGAAAAACTTCTAGTCACTCTTGATCCTCGAAATCTCTGTATCTATAAGCAGGAAGCATTCGAATGCTCAACTCATTGAGATCTATCTACTCTAACAGTTTCAAAACTTTTCGTCAAATCGTTCTTGAGAAGCTCGGGAAAGAGAGGAGTTCCATTGATCTATCTATCTTTTCGATCCTTTGCCTGATTATTCTTTTAAACAATAGTTTTTTGTAAAATAATTTTGATTCTAATGAATATTATTTTAAAAACATTGCCTATACCATAGTAATTCTAAGTCAATTGCACTTGATTTATTACATATTAAACTAATTATATAACGTGACTCGCATAATACGATGACATGACATTAACAATAAAATAGTAATTTCTCATCAATAAATTCAAAAAGAAAAAAGCTAGAAGTCAACCATGAATTTTTATTATTTTTTTTTCTTGTTTAACTTGAAAAATGTTTTAAAGTTTGATAATTTCGATGCCATATCGACCAAACACTTTCCAATTTGTATTGAATACCATTATCTTTTGCCCATTGTTTTACAATTGGTCTAACATGTGCATAATTATATTTAGGCATTGTTGGAAATAAATGATGTTCAAGTTGATATTGCATTCCACCCCATAACCATTCCATAAAAAAATTATCACATTGAACATCACAAGTTGTTAAAAATTGTGTTTCCACAAATGAATGATATGAATCATGAAACATTTCTTCACTTTGATGTGTTGCTGTAACAATACAAGCAACAAGAAAACCACCAAGAAGTATTGAACCAAATGCTACTTGCCAACCAAGCATATAAAGCCATATATAACTTGGTAACATAAAAATAAGTTCAAAATAATTCAATGTACGAAATGAATGTTGAATTGATTGCCATCGCCAACTTAAATATAATAATGAATAAACAGGTACAAAATATAAATGTTGATAAGTTCGAAACCAAAAGTCTTTTTCTTTTGAAGGAAAAAATAAATGAAATACAGGATCATTTGCAATATCTGTATCAATACCAAGATTATTAGTATAAATATGATGAGTATTATGTTTATGTGACCACCAAGTTGGACTAAGTGCATTAATAAAACCTGATAATGTTCTACATAACCATCGCATCCATATACCTCTTCCATGTCCATAATCATGTCCAATCCAACCAGCTTGTTGCATACCAAATCCAATAGAAATAATAGCTAAAAGATCATAATTCCAATAAAAATGGCAAAATGTACCAAATAAACATATGAAATAAACTGATATATGATAAAATAATTCCCAGAATATTGATCGATTAAAATAACCTTTATTAATTAAATTTTCTCGTAATTGTCGAAATGAAAGTGTAAGATTATTTGGTTCTATATATGGAAGTGTATATTGAACATAAATAGAAGAACATGGTTTTAAATGAGATAATCGTTTAATAGCATCTTCACTATGTAAAGCATAAAATGCATCTGTTGCATCTTTTCCATTTAAATTTTGTAGAATTTCTCGACCACCTGGATGTATATTTTGCCATTGTGTAAGATCATACCAATGTCCATTAATAAATAAATATAAACGATCCTGATTATTGATAAACGAT